GGTATATAAATAATACAGACGCAGTTTTTATAAGTAAGAAACGAGTTGTCTTTCATCACGGCTACATTTCTTTTTTTGAGGTTAGAGCAGGCAAAACAATTGCCCCACAAAAACCACTCCGATGGCTCCTTTTTAAAATTATCAATTATGGAAAAATTTGTTGAAATTTTTATTAAAATTTTTTATAAAAATTAAGCGAATATATTAACTTACTAATATATAAAGCAAAGTCACTAAAACCGTTGTAATCACTAACCGAAAAAACTACTTAACCGATTTGGCTGAAATTTTGCATACTGATTCTTGATGATTCCGAGATGGTTTTTGCATAGTAATTCTCTTGAAAATGTTTATAACAATATCGATAAATAAGCTCAAAGTTTTGCTAAAATAAACTAGTTTTGCGCTTTAGTTCAGTGGGATCTGCTAGGTGGCGTCAAGGTAAAATTCAAGCCACTCGCAATCAAAGATAGTAAAGGGAGGTTATAAAACACCTCATCGATTTGACAAATATCGTAGTCGATCATCGGCACTACACCAAAAACAGCTGGGCATTCTGGCTACCGATGACACTCGTCTTTTTTGGGCAAGTGAAAAACATCGGATTTAACCCCAGATCGCCAAAATAACCGAGGTGGAATACCAAGAGACATGTTTAGCCAGATCATAACCTGCTTCAGAGTTTTATAGCCGTTTATCCATCCAACCTGGTGCCGTCAGAAAATTTTCTACTTCAAATGCAAGCCAGGAAAGACAGCCCTGAAGAGTACGGACAGCCATAAATGGCCTTCTTAATAGTCATCCCAATGGCATATCTACAGAAAAGGTATTCTCCAGGCCCACTTTCCCGACTAACTATCAGCGATCGGTTATCCGGGGAACGACCTGAAGACAAGATATTTTTTGGTCAGTGGCGTACCTCCCTCATGTACGGCCTTCATACACAGAGACTCCTCAAGGTACGTACTTTTTGAATATTACTTCGGTAATACTGTCTAGTAATTGGACGTGAGCGGAACCCAACAAATTAATTTATATTTTTGACTAGTACTATGTGTAGATCTACATTAATTTGTATCTACATTAATTTGTAAGAATAGTTTAAAATTTTTCAGAGTTAAATAGTATCTAACAATCAGTTATTTAAGGATTTCTAATCTCCCATTTTTATTTTTTTAACCAATAGTTCTCATGACCATGGGCAAACTGCATCTCTTTTTTATAAAGATTTGTAATTAAAATAATTTGTAACCAAACTATTTTTATGTAGTAAACAACGTGATACATTTACAGCATTGTATGCATCATTTATTTGACTAGTTTACATTATAATATCTTTTTATAAAGTGACAAAGCATCACAAAAGAAAACCCTAAAAACGATGCAAAAGCAACTTTTATTTTTATTAAACAATTTATTAATTTAAGGACTGAAAATTTATTATTAATCTATAATCCTTAGTTACTCAAGTCGTTAAGTTAAATAAGACTTAGGTTCAAAGTCTATTACAAAGAGCAGTCCATAATATTATTAAAGTTTAATTTTTTTATCTATTAGATTATGATGACGTGACACATAATAAAAAAATTAAAAATTTGGGGATGTCTTATTCAGCTGCTGCTTGATTTTTTTTCAACAAATGTTAACCTTTAATTTTAAATTACGTTGATTACTTTAATGTATTACATCTTCATGACATGTAAAATCAGACTAGGTAGACATATAACATAAGACCAACTCGAGTAAGTTTTCATTTTTCTTTTTTTAAACATGTTTCCATTGTCAAAATGCATTTTTTCATGGGAGTATCCTCTTTTTGGGGCCGCTTAAAAGTATATGGCAATATTTTGTATTTCCTAAGAATTCCATGGTATTTCAAAGTTATATCGCATTGCCTATAATAGTACAGGAAAAATGTTTCGAATAATTTTAAGCAAGCCTATACTAATTAATTTTATGACATAAGTATGCTTTTGGAACTAACTATCCTTGTAACTCTTACATTCTTAATAAGAATGTAAATCATCAATATTATTCTATTTTGATACATTTATATAGTATAATTTTTATAAACACGTTTTCTGATGCTAAAACAATTGTAATATTATTACCATATGTTTCTTACATTTTTTTTTTTTATAAAAGAAATATTGGAAACGTATATAAGGAACTGCACTGTGTGCATTTCAGTTTATTCAGAAGTAAAACGCAATTAATTATATATGAACGTGTTTTAAAAGGGTTTATATGAAACGTTGAAACATGTACAGATTTTTTAGCCTTGTTAATATCTTTTTCGTAATAGTGTGCGGAAAATGGGTTTTTTCCGCACTGGTATTAGTGTGGAAAATCGATTTTCCCACATAGTGTGCGGCAAAGGTTTTTGCCGCATAGTGTAAGGAAAAGGTGTAAGGAAAAGGTCACACACCGAAAAAGATTTTGCTTCACACTGGAAATCAAAATTCAAACCTATTTTGTACCTATTTTCCTCACAAATTGCGAAAAAACTTGTACGCAACTCGTGCGGGACGATTTCCCGCACTCGTGTGATAGACTCGCACTCGAGGCCAGTGACGGTAACTCGTACCTTGCGATCACACTCGTGCTACGCACTCATGTGCTCAACTGGTACTCGTTCCCGTCAACTCCGGCACTCGTGTGAGTTAATCACTACTCGTGCGGGAAATTGTCTTTTCCGCACTTGTTACGTAAATAACTATTTTAATCTTAATATTGAACAAAAGTCTTTTCAATTACTTAAACAATAAATTAAACTTCATTTAATTTTACTAATTTTCAATTCAAATTGGTCGTCAGATGAATTTAAAACACTTTAACTATCCTGGACTTGAAATAATACAACCAAGTATGTAGTTATAGACCCTGCAATCTAAAAATCCTCATTGAAGTTGGAAATGGATTTTACTCATTTGAATAATTTAATGGATACTTACTGACATCAATAACGACTCATCTGATGAAATAAGGCTAAATACTGTAAATTTGACATCAGCATGTAATAAAAATGAAGAAAATAGATGCAGCTAAAATAAAATAAATAATTAACCATCAAATCCAAATTTTTATGAATGAGAATCGAACAGTAAACGTAGAAAAAATAACCTTTTTTATTAACTTCTTATTATTTGTATGGACCAAACATGAGTTGATAATCATACTTGTTTCCTTGCTCTGGAGGATCGCCAAATAAAACATTACTTTTTTTTTAATGTAACAATGGATGTGAAAAAATTTATTGTTCTGTATAGTACCTCCGAAACAATTACGCTGACTGATGTAGTCAATAACAAATGTATGACAACGTTATGAATCCAGTAGAAGAAAAAATGGGCAAAATCTATTATTAATATTTTTGAATGTCCAATAATTATTGGTTTAGCGATGAGATAAGCCACTATAACTAGTGCCATGAAAAAATTCAACAAACTTAATAACAACGGGTAAGAGTAAAAGTTTTACAAACTCCTAGAAGTCTCATATAGGAGAGAGTATTGTTTATGTATATCATTGACTTTGTTTACCATCAATTCGAAATTATTTGTCTGAAGAGACTTGATCTCGCAGTCCAGAGCCAATAATCTCTGTGCGAAATTTTTTAGGCTGTTGTTAATGTTTTTAAATAGTTTTTTCATTATGTTCAAAACCTCAATGTATTGTACAAATGTGCTTTTAATGATAAAAACACTGAAAAACAGGGACGAAAAGTAAAGTAAGTGCTCCTTTTGTCTCGAAATGGTTATCCACGACAATACATAAAGAGTCCAATGGACGACAATTGTAAGCTTCATTTTTCTCGTAATGAAACAAATTGAATCATTCACTTCGTAATCAATATTGTTGGACCAGTCAGTCATTGAACTTATCGTGTTGGCGATGGCAAGTAGCTTTTCTCTGTGAGCAATAAACGCAGCTAAAATAGAAACAGCTAACAAGAGAGTCAAGATGTCAGCAAGGGAATCCATTACTCTGTCGAATTTCACGCTGCCCGTATAGCCAGTTTTGGAGAAGCACAAGATAAAAAAAGTATTCAAAACGGATAGCATTACAATTAGGAATACATTATAAAAGACGCAATACTGGGATTTCGAAAATCTAAATTTTTCTACCGCATTTCTTTTTGTCGATTCTACGGTCAAGTTCAATGGGGCTGTGCCCAAAGCTTTAAAGTAACAAAACAAACAAGTGAAGAATAATTTACATCTCGTTGATATACTTATTTTGATTATTTTAATATCCATTCTTTAAAAAAATATCCACAAATTACTGGAGTTGCTAGTATCTTCCAAAATTTATTGCTGTAGAGCACTTTTGCTTAATACTTTTACGTAGAACCTCAATGTCGATAGTAGAAACATTTAATAACATTTCATTATTGATTGAAAAAATATCGATATTACGCCACTTGGCAGCCTTCCTATAACATTACTCAACAGTACTTATCATAGAGGAAGATATTGCCATAATGTACCTTTCTCATCTAATTTATTTAATGCTTAAAAAACCTTTTTACAATAATAAGATAATTAAAATCGCACATTCATAACTTTCAAACGGTCAATGTGTAAATTTGGTTTGAAAGTATACTGGCACTGCTAGTAAAAATAAAGATAATACATTCTTGAAACAAGTAATTACTCGAATAATCAGCACTAGGCTCGTTCTCCTCTGTGGCACCAAGCGTATCGGGGTGACAAAGTTTTCACACCTTACGGTGTCACTCGTGGCCAGGCACTTTAGGTGGCTTACGGTTATGTCCATTATTTAGAGCAGCCGACTGCGTATTCCGCTCTTTGGGAGCGTATCGTGCCTTCAAAACTTTTGCCTCAGTGTCTTGTGTACTCACGTGCCGAGAACACAGTCCAGTTTTCTATGAATTATTTTTCATACATTTTTTTGTTTGCTTATAAATTTTTCCATCCACTGCTGATATGATATTCTACTTTTTTTTGTTTTTTTGCACTAGTGACGTATTTTCGCAGGAATGTTACGACGATGGTAATGAATTTTGTATCGATCAGAATGACATTTTATCGGGCGATCTGTTACCTGGATCGTTTTTATTTATGGATCAATACTACCACGAAAACAAGTCAAGAAAAGTGAATACATCGATTACCGACGGTTCTTTCGTCAAGGCTTTAGATGAAATGGATTATCACAGGTAAATACGATTTAATAAGTTAATGTTTAAAACTCCAACATCAGTAGTCAGATTAGGAGTCATTTAGTCAACGGTGATTTACTTTCACGTGCATTGTATTTCAAGTCGAAAGTAAATTTTAGGATCAGTAACTAGTAGGGATGAAATAAAATTTCTTTTTTCAAACACATTAAAAAAATTAGTATTATATACATCATTAAATCAGTAAAATACTATCCGACTGTGATATGTGAAATTTTAAGAACCAGAAGAGGATGACGTAGTTACGGTATTTGAGTAAATAAAATTAAAAGTGACTGGAGGAAAGTTAACGATGCATATATTTCTAATGTATAAATTTGTGATTTTTGTACTTATTAAAGTTAAATTATTATAAAATCTACGAGTAATAGCAGTCTCTTTATTTACATGTAAACTAATGGGAGTCTTGTGTTGGATGCTCTATAACTTTAACCATCTATAACAGTAAAAATCGTTAAAAATATACCTGAATAACGCTTCGATACCATAGTTTGTAATTTTTCACGGTGTTTTTGGTCCTAAACTTTACTAATTTTTAAGGCTGTTAATGTAGCATTTGATTTTCTTAAAACTCAACTCTTACATCCAATGTTTCATTTTGTACGCATAATTTTTTGAACATTTTTTTTTTCATAGAAAAAGAATGAACGAATTCTTGTGCCATGGTTATGTGGCAGAAGAAATTTTCAAAGAATTCGGTGCGATGCAAAGAGTCAAACGTAAAAATGAGGTACGGCCAGAAGATGCACTTCCTGATATTTTGGGAGAGCAAAACGTGACTGTTCATGACAAGCTGCTTTCCGATGAAGGAAGTTCCAAGTACAAAGACTGGTTGCACAGGTATAATTCAAAAATTAAAATTTTCTGAACAATTTTTTTGATGCGTTGAAATTTAGTATGGTGCACTCCTTATAAAAATGTTACCTGCGACATCAGCACATTATTTCCTTTATTTTTTTTTGTTATTATATTAATAAAAAAAAAATTTGACTCAGCAAAATCCAAGCTGTTTGAGCCAACAGTTGGCTATATAATAAAATAGTTTTTCGGTGCAAGACTTTGTTCATATTTTCATTAATATATTTGCTTAAAACTCTTCTTAATATTAAATACTACTTTAATAAATAATACCTGATTTTATATTTTGCACGGAACAATATTTCATCTTTTCATAACGTGACAGATTTTATTTTTGATAATATAACTCCAGTAATTTTTAATCAACCTAAATGTATAAATACTGTGCATATAGTTACAGTTGTACGAGTTTTTTGACGACAACTAAAAAAGTTATGTACTTGAAAGTAAAAAAAATGACATACCATTCCTACTATCTTCGATTAAATGACATGTTAAGATGTCATAAAAATATATACTTAAAACTTCACAGGTTTTAAAATTAAATTGTAATCTGTAGGCTGAGTTAACTTTTTTAAGAAATTTACTTTAACAAAAATAATACAACCAGTTAAAGATGATTGATTAATAACGTACATTTGAGTCCTTCACATGAACCACTGCATCTTTTTAAAACTCGATACAGTCATAATTTACTTATTACATTTTCGTTAGTTTTGTGCTTCAAAATTTGAATTGAACTGCTTGTCTCATACAATATCCTTGCTATAAAATCTAATGCTACAAACCTGATTTTTTCCTAACAAATGTTCCACTAATCTAAAAGTTTCATAGTCAGATTTTTCATGTTGCATCAAATGACTTCCGAAAAATTAAAGTACCTGTAAGTTCTACTGAAAAACCATGTAAACTTCTTAACATATTCCAGAACAACAACGTTGGACGACATATACCGACATTACAATCCTCATAAAAAAATAATGAAAAAACAAGAGGTTCACGAGGATCCTGAATTTGATGACTTCCAGGAGTTTGAAGGCGAGTTAACTGGTTATACCATGCCAGCTGTATCTTCCGGAAAGATGGGAAGACCTGGAGGTTATTATTTAGAATACATACGTAAAAAATTAACAATGCACACAAAGTATAAGTACAGTTACTTGAAGGATAAAAATAGAAACGAAGTAATGTAGATTGATCTATCTGAATGCGTTAGATCACCTTGTCCCCGCTGGAACGGGCTATGGCTACCCAAGTTACAGTCAACCGTCTCATTATCAGCCACCACCGCATCATCCACCCCCGGACTTCTCGCCAATGGTTCACGAGCAGCACATTTACTTGTCACACGAGGAAGAAGATGAAGAATACTATCCACATCATTCAGTGGGGAAAAGCAAGGGTGAACTGACTGTGAAGGATTTTTTTGAAATCGCCTTAACTGCTCTTGCTTTTCTTGCCTTTGGGCTCTTTATCATTCAGCTGCTCATGAGTATTACGGTAATTTATAAAAATGCATGGCAGCAACATATAAGTGTGAATTTTTTACTTTTTTATTTTTAATTTTTTTTTTTCCATAGAATCCAATGATGACGACTGTGATGAGTACGGTGCCAGACATAGATCAGCGCTTCAAACGCCAAGCATTTGATTCTCAAGCGCTGAGGTACAAAAACGACCAAGAATTAAACGAGCTAGCTCAGCGAGTGTTGCGCTCAATCGAAGCTGTACTTGTGGCCCAGGCAGACTCCGGAAAATGTCTGCGACGGTTACTGTGTGAGGACAATCGCTTTTCCAGGGAAACGGAGGACGGTCGGCGCATCTGGATTCCCGTCTGGAGGTATTTTATTTTCTTTTACTCTGCTTCTGGTAATTTTTATCTAGTTTTTTTCGAAAAGCTATCTGAAATTTAAAAAGGGGCACACGTTCTGGACAGTACCTTTTATTGTGGCCTTAAAAATTACTAATTAATAACAATAGTTATTGAACCAGCACGTAGTTTAAGAGCTAATAACAAATATGGCAGAACACAAGCCGATTGCTTGCAAGTTTACATGTATGAATTTGATTACATAGAATCGTAAGGCTATAGAGAAACAAAATATACCCGAGAAACAAACAAAATCTTGATATTTCATTTACAGACATTGTCACAACAAGAGGTTGAATATTTGTGAATTATCCAACATTCTTGTGTATTTTATAAGTTTTTATGAGTTTTGAGTAAAAAAGGTAAGATTCAGTACGTATTTTTAGGCACGACTGCTTTACAGAAGTATCTTATATTTTTACTAGAAGAAAAAGTGTAACCACCACTTATAAAGAAACATAAATTGACTCTGCAACTGCAGAAAAAATGTAGATCTCAAATAAAAATATAACTTTTTACTACTAAAAGACACCCAACAGAAAGGTATTTTCATGTCTTCATAGTTGTAACTACACGTAGTTATAACGTTATAATTACACAAATTTGAAAAATCACTTTTTTTGATGTATCACAAAAAAATCGAGAACTTGGACGTATGGTATCAAACAGAAAGTTGTAGATCACAAAAAAAATGTTTTTTTCACTACAGTCTCAAATAATTTGCCATAATTAATTACTGTTTGTACTGGAAATATTGAAACTATCATAATAAAAACTGAGAATAACTTTCAGATAAAATATTTAGTCTAATAGGCTCTTGATAATTGCACATAAATTCATTCAAGAACATTTTTTTAACACAAGACCACACATTTCATTAATAATAACATACTAAAATATAGAACAAAATCACAGTAATATTTAAAACATGGTGTTCTTAGTACATGAAATCTTTTTTTTTTTTTATGTAAGAGCATTCTAATTGGATCAGGCAAGATTAGATTTTACCCTATTTTTCATGCGTAAGAATTTTGTTAAGAAAAGGTAACATACAGTAAATTAATTCGTAGCTAACCACGAATATTTTTACATTTCAATTTTTTTTATCCCAGGTAAATTATCAAATCATTTTTAAATACTACTAATATCAGAAAATCATAAAAATAGATAGGAATTAGTTGTAAAAAAAAATTTTTCACATGTTTGAAATAAAAACTTGACCTGATTTCCAGTCATTAAAAAATCATAAAAATCTCTATTTATCTCGTTTTTTGAAAAAATTTATTATTCATTCCGTCGTTTTGTTAACTTAAAAATTGAATGCTTGTGTCCCGTTACAGCTTAGGTATGAGCTGGGTGTCAGGACGAGTTTTGCTTCGTGATCGTTGGTCGGCTATGCTGGACTCTGTAAAGGCGTCCGTACTGGGGCTTGGTCAGGTTGACTGCGCTAGTCTTTATCCCGACTGCCAGCTTTGGCGGGAACGTGTGAAGAGACGTCGGCGCAGAAGAAAGTGATTTATTTCATCTTCCTAGCCATTAAGTGGCAAATTATCATCCAAGACTAGTTTTTTTTTTTTTATATACTTTTTTTTCGTACGACTTACATTTTGTATTTTAATTTATTATACTCCATAGAAAAGTATAAAATATAGGATTTGTTAGTTAGATATGTTTAAGAATAAATCGATATTTTTAAAAAAAATGTTTAGCTGATTAGAGGAATTTGAAGTCAATTCCCACATTAAAAAATCGTATTTCTATCTTGGCCAGAAATAAAGCACAGAAAGACTATAAAAATAAACCTTAAAGCTTCAAAACTATGTTGCTGATGAATAAGAACACTCAAACCTTGAAATCTTCTCAATTTATTTTCATGATTTGATGATACAATATTCCAATTAAATTTGATTTTTGATTGTTTTTTTTTTTGCAAAAACCTGAAGTTATTTTATTTATAATTTTATTAAACTGGTTGTAAAACTTTTTGACTTATTTTTTGACGATTTGACTTCATTACTAGAATATTGGCTCAAAAACTCTACAACGAATAATGTTTAATGTGACTATTATATAGTTATGATTATATTGAAGCATTTAGTGCGTCTTTTTTTAATTATCAGACCTGTGGAACGAATTTTCGTCATTTATACCTTGATAGTAGCTGAATTAATTGCAACTTTTTAAGAGTGAAAAGAAAGAATGGACTTTGAAACGCGTTTATCCATTGAGCAGAGTACTGTATAAAAATACGAAATGTAAAATGAATGATCTGAGAAAAAAGCAGTAAATAAAAGTCAAAGAATTCATTAAAAATTTTTTTAAATTCATGATTTACCAACTTCCAATCGATTGAAATTCATTTTATGAAAATAAAAAAAAATCAAAAAAAAAAATCACGAGTTACAATAGTTCAAATCAATTATACAAATCATAAGCCCGCTCGACTTTCTCTTGTGGCCATGAAAATACGAGGATTTACTTGCTTTGGACCGCAATCCTCTGGAAACTCCCCAAAAAACACGTAACCGCAGAAACTATAGCTCTCCACGAATCCTCACTGCTTGTCGATCTCGGCTTGGATCTGATTAGCAGTTGGCGGGGGTGGCTCGCGGGTAATGGGCAGCAGCGAGCTTATAGTCCGGCCGGAGGGGTTGACATGAAATACATTCCGCTCGCCTCGTTCCCTCAGCACCTGGCAGTTATGCAGCAGCGGCTCGTAACGGCTATTGTGCAGCAAACGGAATTGCGCTATCTGCCCAGGGAAGAGAGTAAGCTGCATGTATACGACACGAGTCGCGCTTAAGGGCCCGGGGGTGTATTTCAGGACCGGGGATTTAATTAAAGCCACCGGATCTAGCGATAAGACTGGCTTTTTAGTGCGGCGTAGGTGTACGCGTGTTTTGGGATTGTTTTGGAATATCATTGGATAGTGGTATGTTGATGCCGTGGAACGTTGAATGTTTTCTAGTTGCATTGTAGTATACGATTCGAAAGAATTTGGAATTTAATTTCGTCCAACCGAGGACACAAAATTATTTCCTTCTCGAAGCAAGAATTTTTAATAGACTAACGAAAAAAGTATGCTTAAATAGTTGCGGAGCTGAATCATGAGTATCGTTGGGGTGGAAAAAACGTGAGTGTGGAGCTTCAAAGCGTTCTATTAAAATAACCATAAAAAAAAAAAAAAATGTAGGTTATCGATTTATATATCAATACTGATAATAACCATAATAATGAAAGCCAGAATTTTCGGGCTAAGGTACTCATCTTGGGCGTATCAATGACTCTATACATACCGTAAGAAAAGTTTTTAAAAATAAATGCTTCAATGTTCAAGAAAAACAAAAAAATTGAGACCTCAAAAAATTAGACAAAGTACCAAAACAGGTTATTTAAAATATTTAAATATAATCGACGAAGCAACCCCAACATAAATTATTTCTAAATTGAAAGATAATTAAATTTTATGTTAAAATTTTATCTTAACTTATTATTTAAAATGTTTTTATTATATGTTTTAAGAATATTATAATACGTTTTTTTGTCAGCCTGTAATAAGAAACCTTTTAATTTCATATTATCTCCCTCTATCAGAAGACCGTCTTACGGGCTATGGCTA